ATATCGGTAACAGATCCATCTGTATAAAAAATAAATTGTTGTTGTAAGCAGTTGGTTTGGTAAATTAGTTCAAGTTGAATTTTTTCTTTAAAACTTCTTATAAGCTATAGTATATAGTTAAAAATGTATTCTAAAACTAAGTTCTGCTTTTGATATACTAGTAGACTACTAGATGCTTTATAATTAACTTCTTTTTTTTTGCTTTCTCATATTTCTCTTCTTTTTTTCTCAAAATAAACATTTTTCTGTAGAGTTTTTTTTATTTGCTCTTTACCATTTAGAGTTTCTTCTTCATTTAAAGTAAATTTCATAGTACCTTCTAGATCTTGTTCAGATTTTCTTTTTTCTTCTAAGCTTTTTGTATTACTTTTTTTGTAAATTTCTGACTTTTCTTAGTCTATTATTTTGTTGTTTCTTAATTTAGCTTCTTGTCTTGCTGTACTTGCTTATCTTAGCTTTTTATCATAGTAAGATATTAAGAATTTTAAACTATTTAATATATCTTCTTTTTTTTCAAAATATATGGTTACACTTCTCATATTATTGTTAATAGAATTCTTGAAAATATGCAATGCTCTAGCTTTAGATCTTTTTATTTGTCTCTAAAGTAGTACTTCATTTGTATTTTCTAGCAAGTCTAGTAATTTTTTACTAAATCTGTTTCTTGTATAAAGCAAAAAGAAATTATTAGTATCTGTTGATATTTTTACTAATAGTTTATTTGTGAACAGTAGGCACCAAATCTTATTTATTTTCTTTTTGTTATAGATACTTGTTTTGAATTCTACTTCTGCTTTTGTCTTGTCAAAAGCACTCTTAATCATTTCAATTTGCTCTACTCTTCCTAAAAAGTAAACTATTTCAAATACTTTTATTTTTTTTGTTCAAACAGACAAGTCCTATACTATTATTTTGTTGTTATCTTCTAATAGATTCAAGTTACTACTTGCTTGTAATAATATGTTTTCTTTTTAAAATAATCTTGTTTGTATGTATTAACTCCTATTTTCTTATTCCTTCTCAAAAAGACTTCTTTGAGTTCTTTTTTTGCTTGCTCATCTTTTTTCTTTTTATTTCTTAAGCTAAGTTACTTGTATTTATTTTTTCTATTATTTTTTGCATAGTATCTTTTTTAATATTTTCTTTTAGAATTAGATTAAAAACCTTTGGTAGTTTTTGAACTGAGATCTATAGAAATTAAAAAATAATTTTAATCATCATTGCTAACCTATTATGTACTACTAATTAAGATATTATATCTATTATGATTATTTAATTCTAATAATATATGCTAGAGTTTTTAAACAAATTTATCAAATTAAGAAAAACCTTTATTATTGAACTAAATTCACTAAAATTAAAAAAAAAGACTTTTGATAGTTTTTGAATTAAAACTCATAGAAATTAAAAAATAATTTAATTGCTATTGTTAAACTGTTATATATTTCTAACTCATATATTACTATCATAACTAACTAATTAAGATATTATATATATTATAATTATTTAATTTTAACAATATATACTAGAGTTTTTAAACAAATTTGCCAAATTAAAAAAGACCTTTATTATTAAACCAAATTCACTGAAATTAAAAAAATCCTTTAGGTAGTTTCTGAACTGAAACTTACAGAAATTAAAAATAATTTTAATTACTATTGCTAAACTATTATATATTTCTAATCTATATATAGCTATTATAACTAACTAATTAAGATATTATATTTGTTATAATTATTCAATTTTAACAATATATACTAGAGCTTTTGAATATATTCATCAGATTAAGAAAGACTTTCATTATTAAACCAAATTTAATGAAATAAAAAAAAAACCTTTGGTATACTAGTTAAAAAGGTAAAATTCAACTTTTAATCAAAGATTAAATTTTAAATTTTTGATTGAATTCAAGTTAAATTAGCTATTCTTTGGCTAATTCAACCTGAATTTAACCAAAAATTTGAAATTCAACTTCTAATTAGAGGTCAAATTTTATTTTTTCAACTAGTAGTAGTTTTTAACTAAAATTTACAGAAATTAAAAATAATTTTAATCACTATTGCTAAACTGTTATATATCTCTAACTCACATATAGCTATTATAACTAACTATTTAAGATATTATATCTGTTATTATTATTTAATTTTAACAATATATGCTAGAGCTTTTGATCAAATTTATTAGATTAAAAAAGACTTTTATTATTAAACTAAATTTACTAGAATTAAAAAAAACCTTTAGTAGTTTTTGAACTAAACTCACAGAAATTAAAAAATAATTTAATCACTATTGCAAACTGTTATACATCTCTAATTTGCATATAGCTATTATAACTAACTAATTAAAATATTATATTTATTATGATCATTCAATTTCAACAACATATACTAGAGCTTTTGAAAATTTCATTAGATTAAAAAAAATCTTTATTATTAAACCAAATTTGCTAGAATTAAAAAAAAAAAGATCTTTAGTAGTTTTTGAACTGAAACTCACAAAAATTAAAAAATAATTCAATTACTATTACTAAACTATTATGTATCTCTAACTTACACATAGCTGTTATAACCTTACTAATTAAGATATTATATCTGTTATAATTATTCAATTCCAACAACATACACTAGAAGTTTTTGAACAATTAAGAAAGAACTTTATTGTTAAACCAAATCTGCTAGAATTTAAAAAAAAACCTTTAGTAGTTTTTGAACCAAAATCTATAGAAATTAATAAAATACTTTTGTTTGCCAAACTGTTGTATGCTTCTAACTTATACATAACTGTTATAACCAACTAATTAACATGTTACATTTATAAAAATCTGTTCATTCGTAGTAATTGTTGAATTCAATTCACAGATTTTAAGAGCATTACTAGCAGTTCTTTAATTCGAATTTAAAAAAGATTTTCATACTTGTTTTTTTTTATTATGCCAAACCACGAGTTTAAAAAAAGATATAGTTATTAGAAGCTTTAAATAAATCTAAACTAAAAAAAAATTTATTGTGAAATCAATCTACTAGATTTAAAGAATAGAGAATGATAATAATAATTTAAATAAAAAAGCAAGAATTGTTGCATATAATTGGTTAGTGATTTCAGTAATTTAAAATTTTTAGAACTATTTTTAGATCATAATTTTGGATGACACGTAGTAAGCCGCATTTTTTAAACCTGATTTACTCAAAATTGTTTATATGTAAATATGAGCTGTTTTAATTAGAGACACCTTATATGTTATATATAATTTTTATATTATTTGTATTATTTGTAATTATATTAACAAATTTATTAAATCTAGCTTTACATATTATATTTTTAATTTTTTTAGTAAAATTCTTCATTATATAATATTTTTCTTTAATAGAATTAACTTATAAAAAATCAAAGCAAGTATAATTATTATATAATTAATTACTAATAATTTAACTAACTATTACTAATCAAACAATAATAGAATTTTATCAAAAACAGTTTAAACACCTTTTGCAAACTAGTATATTCCTTATTGAGAAGTAAGTTAAAAAATATATAATATAATAGAATTTTAAAGAAAAATCAAGCTTTTTTAAAAAAAGCTTGAAATTCTATATTTTCTATTGAAGTTTTCAATATATAGTATAAAAAACATATACAAGTAATAATTTGATCTTTTTAAGTAAATTTAACAAAATCTAATAGTTTTTACTTTTTGTTAGAATTAGAACTTTTACAGTACTTATACTGCGCACAATACATGAGCTCAAGTGTTCTTGTAATTGAGTTGCATGCCTTACACTTATAACGTTCTTTACCTTTCTTATCAATTCGCATAATATATTGGTCCCACCTATTCTTAATATTTATTCAAATTACTTTAACATAACAAGGTGCAATATATTAACTATGTAATTGTGATGCAACTAATTTTCCGACAATAGAACCCAACTCAATTAAAAAATAGATAATAAAGTACCATAGCTAAAAGTTTGGCCAGAGTTAATCACGTGGTAAAAATTACATTTACATAAACTTACGGTAATTTTCCAACCCTATACACTAGCAAGAAAAATGTAAATTTAAAAACTAAAATCTTTTTTTTTTTTTTTTAACCTTACCGCTATTGCTTATCAACGTTTTATTATAATAGAAACTATATTAATCAAAGTTTCTCCATGGAACTAGACCTTAAAAGTCTAGTCCAGCCCAGCCCGGATTAACTATTTAAAAAACAGTATTCGTAAAGAAGATCAAACATTTTTGCAATTTACAATCAAATCGTTGGTGAAACTTTTGATAGATCAATTTGAATAAAAATAACAATAAAATCTTTTCCATTGTCTATCGTTATCAAATTAATTTATTTATGCATAATCACAAAATTTTTAAACACACACGGAGTCTTACACAAGAGTTTAAACCAAAAAATATATCAAATATCATGTTATATTTACAATTGAAACCACTACTTTCCGTGCAAAGCACGGATTTTCAGATAGTACTTTTAATATTTTTTTTTTTTTTTTTTCTTTTTTTTTTTTTTTCTTCAAACACTAGTTAAAAACGAATTATACACAATATACCCTCAAATAACCAAAATTATAAACCATAAAATTAAATTATTCATAACTTTGAAACAAAGTAATAACTTCTTTTTTAAGACCTCTAGCGACTCTTTTCCTAACTTCATCTTCTCTTTGACGAACAACATTTTCTAACATATCAATCTTACGTTGATTATCTTCTAACATTCCAACAGCTTTAACCAATTTTTCTTGAAGCATAATGATAGTTTCTTTAGGATCATTTGTTAAGGTAGTCGGAGGTAAAAGAAGTTCAGAATATGAAAATCCATTATTATTGTTATCTTGACTGTTAAGATTATTTTGAGGTGACCACGACCAATTAGAACTTGTTGGGGATTGTGGTCTTTCTTTGTGATGACGTTTTTTTGAAAGTCGAAAACTATCGAAACCCATTACTGAAGCATCAGAACTTGTTTTTCGTCTTGAAGTAACATTACCTTTATGAGTTGGTGAAGTTGAAGGGGCGGTTGGTATAATTGGTTGAGAAGGAGAAGTTTCACCAGATTGTGTTGATATAGGACCACCGCCGACAGAAATACTTCGCCACCGCAGCTGAGTAGCAGGACTACCGGCAGAACTAGAATTAGATATTACACGAAAATGACTTGTATCACCACCTGAAGAATTGGAATGATGCCTTATATCAGTTGGCGAAGGAATTGGTGTTGGAATATGACGGGAGGTCATACCGTTTTTCGGTCTGCCAAGTTTTGGCCGGTTTTCACGAGAAGAAGTAAACTATTATGAAATATTGATGATAATAACGGCTTGAATAATTTTTAGGGATAAATTATTTCTAGTATGATTAACAAAAATCTTACTAGTAGAAATATTGTTTTTCATCCCTCACATCCCCTGATATACAATAACTACCTGTACATTATTTTTCCTACGAGAAGATTTAGATTTTCCATCAACATCAACCTTACCAGAGTCATCAACTTGCATATTTTCGTCATCTTCCCAAGCATCTCTTTCATCGTCATAGTCAAGTTCATCACTTGCATCAGAATAAGTTGCCTTGATGCGTTTCTCGGAACGGTCGTCGTGTCTAGAAGGATCAGCATCATCATCAAAATCATCATCATTGTCAATATTATCGTCATTTGTATGATTATCCCCAACATCAATACTACTACCGGTGTTACGTCGAGTATATTTTCTCTTTTGTCGCTTACTACTAGCTCGTTTAATTAATTTTAACACTAAATCGCTATCGTCATCGTCAGTACCATCAGTAGGTTCAATACCTGTCGGATTCTTTTGTGGATCTTCGTAATATTCATTTGGTTTCGATAAAATATAGTCGAAAAACGCATCGATATGAATGGAACGCATCCATTTCTAAATATAAAATTTTATAACATATATATAAAAAAAAACAAATCAGTATTTATAGCTCTTCAGACGCGCGCGCGCGCGTGTGTGTGCGATATAATTTTTTTTTTTGAAATTTTGCTAATCATGTGATCTGTACCACGTATACGATGAATTCTATTGCCAAGAAACGGTTTTTGGAATTTGAAGCCGAGAGATGAAAAAAAAATAAGAAAATTAAAAACATACTTTTAGTCTCACAGCGTATTGCTGAATTTTTTGCGGACTTGATCCGCTGGTACGCTCGACGCCAAGTTGTTGAGCTAATTTAGTCCAAGTTTTTATTTCACCTGAATGATGCTTGGATACAAGTTGAAAAAGGACCCAAGTATCAAAAGTTTTACCATCAGATTTAGGAACAGCGTTGAAAGAACGAATGAGAGATGATACATCTAAATCAGATGGAGCAGAAGGATTACAATATAAAATGAATTCCACATAACGATCGGCAATATTCGCCTGAGTCACGTCTTTTTGTGGTAACTGACGACGATTATTATTAGAAGATTGACCGGATGAAGCAGCGAAAGCAGGAACGAAGTTGCTCGGTATATTTGTAGAAGTAGCGGCGACGTAATCTAACTTATCAATAGAAGAACTAGAAGAATTTTCAGCGGTACTAACCGCTTTAGAAGCACCTCTTGTTTTCCTAGCGGCTCTTTGAGTAGCAGATTGTTTTGGTACCTTTGGAGAAGTTTGCTGAGAGGTAGAGACGACAGGGTTTACGATATCGTTTGAGGAAGTTGTAACAGATTCAGATGAAGTGGTAGCAACAACAACAGATTCAGGTTTTACGATAGTATCGGATTTATCATCATGAGTGACATTGTTTGTATCTTCGGCGACATCAGGATTGTTTATTTGGTTCTCTTTTGACATATTTATTTGAAGCTGAAATTTGAAAACGGATTCGAATAAACTACTTAACTCTAATAAAAAAAAAATGGCATGAATGAACGAAAACAGGTAAATAAAGAATATATATAATATATATATAGTATTATTATTATTTTTTTATGAGATAAATATAAAGAGAAAGTATTCGTGAAAGAACAGACATAACGTATTAAATGAATTATATAGAATGTGCAAATAATTTTTCGAAAAATAAGTGATTATTAACATAGTTGAAAGAAATACGATACCTGACTAACATGTGATTTATATATACTTTTTTTCATATAATTCCAAAACAATTAATAGGGAGTATAAAAGGGCGAAGATATTTTACAAAAAAAATCTAGAATGAATAAAACAAATTTTGAGAAAAAAAAAAAAAAAAATTTTTTTTGATTAAAACATAATTAATCGTGAAAATATATAATAATACCAAGTTTATAAGACTGTAAGAGTAGAAAATTCAGGAGACACAAGTTTCACGCTGGCGATAGGTCGGAATACCAGAGAAAAATCCTTGATATTTACTGGGATAATGGATGAAGGATGAAGTGATTTACAATAAGAAACAGGTATTTATTGCGGTAACAACGGAGAAAATAAATTACCTTTTTTTGCGAAGGAGAATTTCGGAAGAATCGAAATTTTTATGTGATTATTTATAGTTGGAAAAATAGTTGAGAAGAAAAGTTCTCAATGTAAGTTAACCTTTAAGTTAACGCCCTTACTACCTTAATATATACCTAATGTGACTATTTTAGGAAACTGAAAGTGTGTGTATCTTTTTTTTATATTAATTTAAAAATGTAGATAACAGTTTAATTAGCATATATAAACAAAATATTATATAAAATTTGGTATGTATAATAATATTTAATAACAATTAATAGTGAACCAATTCTAAAAATTTATTAGAAAGATATACAAACAATGATTATTTCACAAATGATAAACGCCAAAAAGATTTGTAAGGTTATGTAGATGTAAAAAAAAAAAAAAAATTAACGTTATTAATTATATATGCGTAATGTAATAACTGATATCAGATAAGCCTATGGTTATCGTCAAATTACACAAAACTTATATATATACATACATTTAACCATAATTTCTACAATTTGGATAAGTTATATGTAACGGTAATAAAAATTCAGTTCGTATCACAGATATTTTGGTCATATGCCTAAAAAAACTTTACTTTTCTGAGAATTCCATTTATTTTACGTATAAACATAACTAGCATATATAGTGAGATTATTGCAAAAAGAGCATAATAGTTGAGAAAAATGGCTAATCAACGTGATATGACATCTTCTTTGATCTTCACCAATAAATCCCTTTTTAGTGTCTCATCTTTACATAGTTTTTTACAACGATCATTGTTCTTTATATACATGTAAACAAAAATGCATGTCTCAATTGATTTGCTTTTGGACTTCTTTTGGCCTACTAACTATTTTATTTCGTTTCATGTGATTAACCTTATTCATCAATTGGATCGATGTACTGTACACGTATCCAAGTTTCGAATTTCCATTGACTCCTGTTGTTATGAATTCTTATGTGATGAATTACTTGTCGATCAAACAACAGTGTGACTGTTTCATAATCTTCATTTTATTGTAATGTTTTCCTTGAATGGGTTCGCCCTATTCAAGATGACTACTATGGTTTCCTTTTTTATTTTATAAGAAAATGTGTACATAATGTATGCTTATGTTTACTTATATTGAATTTTAGAAAAAGTTAACAAATGTAAAAAAAAAAAAAAAAAAACTATAACTTAACTGAGAACAAAAAAAGATGTGAAACAATTTCAAACCTAGGAAACTACGTATATGCTTATTTTTTTTATTAGGAAACCTACGTACATATGCAAATAATTATTCTAAGCCATGGTTTCTTGGTTATCGGCTATGCTCAGTGTAACGTTACGATAGAATTTTCTATTTAAAAAAAAAAGTACATACGTTATTAATAATTAATTTTTTTATCCCGAAACATAAAATTCGGTTAAAAAAAAATTAATTTCAAATTTTTAATACAGTTTATTACTGTTTTCAAAATAGTTGAAATCGCCTCCAAAAAAATATTATTCGTGTATACCCGTATACCGATACGGGTATACACGAATAATATTTTTTTGGAGGCGATTTCAACTATTTTGAAAACAGTAATAATGCATGGTATATATCGATATTAATGTAAGTTAGAAATTACTAAGATTCTAGTTGCTATTAATTGGTTAAAAAATAATTATAACATCGCCATAATACGTACGCACAAAATTTTTATGTATAATTAATTATTTGCATCAAATTTTGATAAAAGACTTAAACACCATAATTCCGAATTTTATTCATTGGTATTTTGCTAGATTTGCGTTTATTATATCAGATAAGCTTATAATTGGTATAAGATTTTATATTTTTGTATATCAATGTTTTTTTTTTTTTAAAAAAAAAAAAAAAAAATTACTACGTAAGTATAACCGATAATAAAATTTTAAATAATTGATTTGTCGTACGTACATCGAAACATTATTTTGTTAAACAATATTATTTTTTTCGTTTAAACTAATTATGGTCAAAAATAATATTTTATAATTAATTTGCAGTATAGTCGTATCGTTATTTTGTTAAACAATTATAAATTTGCTGTATATATCGAGTCTTTTGTTAAACAATATACAGTATTTTTTTTTGTTCAACTATTTATAATCAAATTGTAACTTAGCAATCTTGGTATTTTAAATTTTAAATAACGATTTATTTAAATAATATAGATAAAATACAATACATTTTAAAAGTTAAATTTAGTTAACATTGAAATAAATAAATATTAAATGATTATTAATAATATTATTCTAAACCCTTTTTTCAATAATAATTATTTAAAAAAAAAAATTCGAAAATAAAAATATATATGTATTTTAAATTAAATTAATTTCTTGTTTTTATTTACGATATATATAAATCTAATAATATATTTTAATTTTTATATAACTGATAAATATAAAAAAAAACAATTTAGTTTGTAGTTATATTATTTTCTAGGGCAATATAAGAATAAGTTTCGCTAATGATTAGTAATCATTAATTTTTTAATATATTCAGCGGACTTTAGCAGAGTTTACAACATTCTATAGAACATCCTATTATATTAATATTTTATTATTTTGCTTAAGAAACTATTTTTGAAATTTTAATAAAAATTTATTGTTAAAATTTAATATACAGTATATTATATATTTTGCTAAAATTTTAAAACTTATTCTAACTCTAATTTTAATTAAATTTTAATTTTAATTTTTTCTTAATAAATATTTGTTTTTTTTATTTTGTATAAATTTACAAATTTTATGATATTATCGTTATGATAATTACTAATACCATATGGCCTTTAGAATAAAAAAGACTTCGCAGATTTTTGATATATTTAATCAATTAGTCGACCAACTAAAGTCGATTTTTTGAGATCGACTATAATCACTAAACTTGTCACAAGGATAACTATTTATTTAGTAACCAGCTTTTATCGTTACTTATAAATCTAATCTTTTCTACTTAGTCTTATTTAATACTCAGACACCCTATATACAATCTCTTATACAATCATACAATCTCTCACACAATCTCTTAAATACACAGTTGTTTTGTTAGAGAAAAATTATAATTTGATAAAACACGTAATTATATATATATATATAGATAGATCTAATTGCATCTGAAAAAAGTTACTGTCACTTAAATATTTTAGGGGATTTTATGTATTTGTATTTAGTAAAGTTTTTAATGATAGAGATCTTATTCGATAAAAGAATATCTGAGGAGTCAAAGAAGACAAAAGAATAAACTTTACGATATAAAACCTTAAGTTGAAAATAGACGATGTGGTTTTTTAGGGCGTCCTAATTTCCCCCACCACTTCACTACTGGAATAGAAAAATTTGATTAATAATATAAATACTTCTCTAAGTAAATAATTAATACAACCAATTAGAAGTGGTAAACTAGTAAATCTAGTGATGGGACCAACGAGTTCTTAGTTAATAATAAAAAAATTAATAATTAGTTAATAAAGTTAATAATATTTAAT